CACCACAGCACCCTAAACCTTGAGGGTGACGTAGCCGCGTGGAGCAACTCATGAACAGAGAGGTCCACAAGGCCTGCTTAAATCAGAGCCAAACTAACACCTGCCTTCTGCCAATCCCCCACTCCCCGAAGTATGTGCTACAAAGGACGATACTAAACCTACAGATTGGGGAGAGGGGCCGGCCTGCCATGCCCCTACAGAAGCAAACCAAGAGGGAAAAAAGAGCAAGAGCTAGACCCCACACTGGCACTCTAAGCCCTGAGGATGATGGCCCTCCATGAGCAGCTAAGGCACCCAGAGGACTGTAGGGGTGACAACAGCTCAAGACGTGATGTCGCCTCGCTGGAGCATACTGTGACAGAGGACAATACTGGGGGCACAAGGTGGGGAGTGAGTCCAGTCAGACCACCCCCACAGTGGGGGGAACCCAGAAGGGCACATGGGGGGGAGCCACAAGACCCCTGAGGAGCCCCCCCAAATAGACTTCAGGTTAGGAGGTGCAGTTCCTGGAACACCCCCCGCCCCAGGACTGGTGGGGAGATGGTCATAAAGGTCAGCGGACAGACCTGGAATTAGGTATGCTTGCTTTCTTTCATTTTTGCTTGTTTTTCTTTTTTCTTTTAGTTTGTTTCTCTTTTTATTCAGTCTTTTGTTTTCTTTTTGTTTTGTCCCTGTTATTGTTGTTTTGCCAACCTCTATAAGATAGGCATCGGAATCAAGCCCAAGGAGAAAGCAATGGGACCTATGGTTCTGGAGGGACTTGGGGGGAGGAGAAGGCGGGGGAAAGGGACAGTGCACAAGCAATGCCATTGACAGGGGAACAAGTAGGGCATTAAAAGCAACGATGAGGAGGACGTGGAGATCCCAGTGGTGCTGAGCAACAGCAATCTAGCTGAGAGAAATTACTAAGAGGCAGAAGAAAGGTGAGCATGATGGTGGGGCAGGAGGAAGGTAAAAAGAGGAAAGTTCTAGGAAGCAAACCTATAGACTGAGGTATAAACATAGGTGTGTACATATGTAAATATATTAATTCATAAAAATAGAGGTATTGGCCTTTGGATTGAGTAACAGAGATCAGAAGACCCAAAACGAACAAAAAAACTTTATTGAGAATGCGGGGTGTTGGAGCAGAGACCCAAAACCCATCTGTACACAATGGGACATTCCCTCGCAGAAGGGTCACAAGGAAGGGATGAGTCAACCAGGGCGCAGTATAGCACCAATGAAATATACAATATTCCTCTGGTCCTTGAGGTTCACACACACACACACACACACACACACACACACACACTCCACCCCCACTATCATGACCCCAGTCCTGCCTTTCACTGTGGTCTAGACAAGAACATGTGCACAGGTACAGAGAAGAGAGATGTAAGAGCTCAGGAGAGGAAGGGGGAACTGATAACAGTGATTGACACATAACCACCCCCCCAGTGGATGATCAACAGAAACCCTGGGGAAAGAGAGACAGTGGTCAGTGTTAGACATGAAAATAATAATAATTTATAATTTATCAAGGGTTCATGAGAGTGGAGTGGGGAGAGAAGGAAAAAAGAGGAGCTGACACCAAGGGCTCAATAGAAAGCAAATGTTTAGAAAATAATGATGGCAATATATGTACAAATATGCTCGATCCAATTAATGTATGGATTGTTATAAGAGCTGTAAGAGCCCCCAATAAAAATTATCTTTTAATTAAAAAAAAACCCCAAAATAAAGAAACTCAACACGCAGAAAAGAACGTTCTTTTGAAGTTAACTCATGTAGCACATGTTACGGTTGTTTTTAATGAAGAAAATTGATAATTACATGGTTTTAATAGACAAAGCATCACTCTCTGGGTCTAGGAAATAACCAATAAATACGTTTACATTGGCACAGATTTCCAAAACAGGGAGATGGATCCAGGGCCAGCTCAGTCTTCAATTGCCAATAAATGCTGGCTTCTCGTTCTAGCCTCTTGAGAATTTTCCCTTCACAATAAGCAAAACATTGCAGGTAAATTATGTTCCCAAACTTTTTTTTTCCTGGTGGTAGGCTCGGAATTTCTTTCTTTAAGAAAATTTCCAAAGTTCTTGCTACAACACTTTATGGATATAAAGATGCAACTATTTACCAACTTCTTGTTATATTAATGGAAGTTCTCTTCCCTCCTCAGCTTTATCTAAATGCCAACAGAACTAGGCAGGAGCCTGGAAAAGACTGGTCCAAATTCTTGTTCTTTCCCCCAAGATTTGGTACCTTTGCAAAGCACTGCAGCTTTATGGACTTCCGTTCCCAAGTGGAAAATGTTTAGGAATGGGGATGTAACAGAAGAACCCGGAAGACACTGCAGACTTGAATTCTTTAAGAAAACACTGAAACGTTCTTCAGTCTGTGTGTTTCCCCCTTCCCAAGTAGGCTTCATTATTCATCTTCCAATAAAACGTCAGGAGAAAAGAGGCAAAAGAAAAGGAAAAGCAACTTGTTTTCTTGTCCTAGAAATCCATGAAAACCGTGGGAAACTTCCATTATCGTTCCATTCCACCAAGTGCTTGAAGGTCACCTTATGCAATCACTTGGTTTCAGTTTTCCAGAACTTTACCTAATTGATCAATTGACCTTAATTGTAGTCTAGAGAAATCAAATAAGCAAAATTTCAAGTTTTCAAAGAATTCCATTCATTAAAATAAAGGCAAGGGCCAGGCATATGCAGAGTAATCTTTTTATTAAGCACCAGACTTGTAATTTTCCAACATCTGTAGGGAGTTAAGGAACAATCACTATGATCATTTCAGTTACTCTGAAGCCAGCAATATATGAGTAATCTTAAGTGTTTTATGGGCCCTACAAAATCATCAAATAGGATTTCATAAGTGTTTGCAGTAAGAACCACACCTCTTTTTTTCTGTGCATGGAAAAACCATGTCAAATAGACTTTCAATGAAGCCAACATTGTAAGTAACAGACATGCCGTTTATTTTTAGAGCCCAGATTGCCATTAGGAGGGAATTGGACACTTTACAGTCTGACTCAAACACACAAAAATCACCTTCCTGATCATTTATAGAGCAAGATCGCTGTCTCCACTCAACACAGAATATAAAATATAAAGATTCTAATACTAGGGACACACTTAATAAATGCATGGATGGGTGTTTTCTCTTTTGACATGATTCATTTGCTCGCAGCGGTATCTCATTAATGAGGTTTTAAATCAGCAGGAATAAATAGGTGTGCTCTGCCTAACTCCACCTTCAGCCAATGGTGGACACTGCTCTATTCAGCGACAGAAGTTTATGTTGGCCTCCTTTCCTACCTATTCAATGTCCCTTTAGTGAGACTGAGCCTCGGATTTCCAGCTGCCTGTCGGCTCCCTCCCCAGCTGGCAAGGCTCCTTGTTGGGAGCAAAGGCTGTACTAAAGGAGAACTGCTGGCAAAGAGCTACAGTTAGGAAATGGGAGGTAGGGAGTCGTAGGAAGAAGCACCTTAGTGCTTGGTTACCCTTGAGCATTTGCAGTAGGCATGAGGTCCTTTTTGCTTCTAATTAATAGCCAGAGAAACATTGAATGAAGGGCAGTCTTATATGTAACAAAGTGGGTATAGTTTTGGACAGGCTTCCATGCCCATTCTCCGGCAGCTCATTCCCTTCTATCTAGACTTCACAAATCTTTTTAAAGGGGAAAATTTACTTTCATTCAATTTTACAAACACAGCACTAGAATGCACATATCTTTAGGAAAAGCGAGCATGTTGATTTCATTTTTTTCTATGGTACCTGTAACTGATATCAGATTGCCTGATTATAACTCGTCATGTAGAGATATGAAGAAATAACACAAAGACACCAAGATTGCAAAATAATTTTTTTTTTAATCTTGGAAATAATCTAGGGCAAATAGCACACACAATAAGATCACAAGAAGCATCGAATAAGTAATTATTTAGGGGAACATTGGCTTGAGATTTTCCCACTAGGTTTACAGAGGCTAAAAAGTAAGTCGTGTTTTACTGAGGACTCCTCAGTGAACCCTGGCTTGATATCTAAAGAATAAATTAGAAAAATGTTAGCAATAGAAATTCTAGTGCATTTGTTTATTGTTTGTCTTTACCTTTGTTGACTCCTTAAAGGTAAGGCATATGACCATTTTATTCACTGGATCCCCATTATTGGAAAAATAATTTACCCAGTGAGATTCAATATATATTTGCCTTAGGGAGGAAAGCAAGAGGGAAGGGAGGAAAGGAAGTAAGGAGGGAGAAAGGAAGAGCAGGGTCTTATTGGATCCGCCCAGGAAATGTGTGATGTGTGGTTTTCCGTCGTCGTCCAGCAAGCTGCCTTGAGGAATCTGTCTGTGGTTTGCAGCAGTGGATTCACAAGTCATTCAGTAGAATGGTTCAAAGATAGCTGAAGCAACAGGGTCTGCTTTGAAACAGTTTGTCTTTCTATGTTCACCCTTCTCCATTCTCTTTGGCTTCCAAATACCTACCACTACTTCGTTCTTCCTCTTGGAACACCCACACGTTTGTCTGCACCCTCCTTTTCACTCACAAGGAGCTAAGTGGCTCTCCTTTGCATCTCATAATTCACGTTAAAGACGGCAGTGGAGTCTTATTCAAAAGTCTGCACACCAGCTGTCTCAGCTACCAGGTACCTGAGGTTTTCATGTTCAAGTATGTTCCGACTCATACCCCTACCTGATCTGTCAGATCCTGTGTTTGTAGAACAGTCAAGTGCTGAGATGAGGTTAACCTTAGAAGAGGAAACTAGAGGGTTCACCTGGGTGAAGGTAGAAGTAGCAAAGGCTGAGGCTATTGGAAGAGGACAGAAAGAAAAGAATTCCTCAGGAGCTGGAAGCTCAGAATGTCGTCGTTGATCTTTGGTGCCATCAACTGGACAGCAGCCTCATGGATAACAGAACGAAACACGACCCGGTCCTGCGCATCCGCACAGCTGTCCTCACATTGGAGCCCATTCTTGCGGCCTGTAGCCATCTTGTCGAAGGCCTTCATCTTTATTGCTGCTCCTCCTCCTGAGCGAGTGTGACGGCCTTCTCCGGGAGCTGGTCTCTTCGGGCAACATGTCCAATGCCTGTGAGGTGAAGTTTTGGCACGCTTTCATCAGAAATAGGACTGATCAAGTCTGGCCGTGGCCTCTCTCTTTCTGCCCCAAATAATTACTGTTAAAAAAACCCCACATTTTGAGAAATTCTCAATTGTGCAAAGAAAAGTAAATTGCAAACTAGTTTTAGTAATATCTCAATGAAGGGATTGCCATCTAATTCTGTAAAGTATTTATTTTTTCACAAGTCCAATAAGAAAATAATTTGTTCTGAAAATATTTATTATTTGCGATTCATCCTCTCAATCCGTTGTAAGGGAAAGTGCCCTTGCCTTGAATTCCTTGCTGAGTGGGCACAACGGTGCTCTTTTCTAATGCATTAAATATGGTAAACATTGCATCTGCCCCATGAATGATTAGGATTAATTCTCTAAAGTGTTTAAGAGAATTCCTGCCACATAGTACACATCCAATAAATGTTATCAGTGATATTGGTAGTAACTGCAGGAGATGACAATGATGATGATGATGATGATGATGATGATGATGATGATGATGATGATATTAACATATCATTGGCTCTAGCTGAGTGGACAAGAAATGCTTTTCTCCAAAAGCAGCAGTCCAGAATCTACACCTTGACTGCTGGCGTCTACGATGATTTCGGAAGCTGGTATTGATGAGAGTCTGCTCCGTAGTGGGTGACACTTTGGTCTGCTAAGCACAAGACAAGCAGTTTGAGAGAGCCGGCTGTTCCGCCAGAGAAAGATGGGTATCTTTATCCTCCTATAAAGAGTTACAGTCTGGGAAACCCACAGGGGATATTCCACCCTGTCCTCTAGAGTTATGAGGAGTCCAAGTTCACTCAATGGCGGTCAGTTTGTTTGAAAGTTTGAAAGTCTCTGCTCAGAAAATCAAGTGATCATAGTTGATACTGGCGATGACTGGCATGAGTGTTTGTTGTGTGCTAATCTGAAGGTTAAATGTAAGAGACAAAAGGAATTGAAAGGAAAATGACTAAACGAGAGACATTGTAGCAAATAATTTATGAATCAGACATACTTTGAGAGTGAGTAAAAGAGAAGCCACCACACCCAGTACCCTGCCTGTTGTTTCATCTTTTTTGTCTTGAATTTGTTCTTTTCAATGTCTGCTAGATTCCAACCCTCACATTTTAGTTTGGTTTTAATTTCATTCAATGATTTATGTCATTTATGTCCAAAGAATCATGATTCATTTTGCAAAAATGTATTTTATATTATACTAAAACATACAACAAAATATATAGCCTTAAGACTTCTTTCCAACTCTGGCTTGTAGATTCTAGAAGAGATCTTTTACAAACACTGATTAACAGACTCATATCTATATGAACGGTGTGACTTCTGGGGAGTAGAAATTCCATAATCCCTCTTCCATGTGCCAACCTATAAGAGATTTTTGGATGCCAGTGTCTGAACCAGCAAGTGACGTGGCCGCGGCAAGCATCAGGAAGAGCCAACTGAAATCCTGTTGGAGCCATTAGAGCCTAGACAGTGTGAAATGATGGAGTTTGATGAGGCCCATTGTATTCTAGGATCTCTTCTCAGAAGGAAATTTCCCACTAGACCAGTGCTTCTCAACCTTCCTCATACTGCCACCCTTTAATACAGTGCCTCATGTTGTGGTGACCCCCGACCTTAAAATTATTTTCATTGCTACTTCATGACTGTAATGTTGCTAATGTTATGAATCAGGCAACCCCTGTGAAAGGGTCGTTCGGCCCCCAAAGAGGTCGCAACCCAAAGGTTGAGAACCACTGCTCTAGGCTGACCACTCCACATACTTCCCAGGGAGCAGCCCATAGAAAGGCATTTTATCACTGAATGATTAAATGACAGCCATATGCTAAGCTTGCTCCGTTCCCATCTGGCCTCCCTTGGGACCTTGCTTCATCCCTCATCCTCTCCCTCAAACCTCTGTCTTCCCATGGCCCCACCTCCAACCATGCCACGCTGGCAGATAGACCAGTGTCTTCTATCAGAAAGTCTGTCCTCCTTGCTACACCCAGTCTTCTCCAAGAAGTGACCAGCGGGCACTCCCTCTGCTGTCTCCACTCCTGTGCTCAGCCAGTCAGGCCAGAGGGCTCTCCATTTCCTACATCCCAATGACCCTCTTGCAGGGCTTTGGAGCAGTTCATTCTGGTTCGACTCCCTGCTGGGGAGTTGCATCCCCATGCCATAGAGACTGAATCTGAACCTGCAAGAGTCAGAGAAAAAGAGCCCCCAGAAGAATCACCTGAAGATCACGTCGATTCTGATCCACTATATCTCACAACATCATGATAGATCGAGACAATGATGGAAGCTGCTGATTTCTTTCTACATAGATGAACAACCAATGTCCATAAAAGCAGTAGTCAGAAAAGAATTCACGGGAGAAGGGTGTGGCCAAAGATCTTTTTAAGTGTTATATGGCAAAGATGTCATTTTGATGACTAAGGTGCATCGAACTCAAGTCGTGATCTTGGTAATTGCTTCATATACATGCAAACATGGGAAAATGCAAAAGGAAGACAGAAGAAGAATGGAGGTATTTGACCTGTGGGGTTGCTGAAAAATGTTGAATATATTGTGAACTACTAGAAAAATGAACAAATCAAGTTTAGAAGAAATGCAAATAGAATATTCTTTACGAGCAAGGATAGTGAGATTTCAGCTTGTTTGCTGTCTTAAAGAAAGACAAAACAAAAAACCAAGCTCACTGCCATTGAGTCGATGCCAACTGATATTGACCCTACAGGACATGGTAGGAACCTCCCCCCTACCCCAACCCCTTCGAATTTCTGAGGCTAACTCTTTACAAGACTAGAAAGCCTTTTCTGGAAAAATTCATCAAGATCAGTGGTTCTCAACCTTCCTAATGCCACAACCCTTTAATACAGTTCCTCATGTTGTGGTGAACCCCCAAACCATACAATTACTTTCACTGCTACCTCATAAATGTAATTTTGCTACTGTTATGAATCAGGCGACTCCTGTAAAAGGTTCATTCAACCCCCAAAGAGGCATGACCCACAGGTTGAGAACTGTTGATCAAGATTGATAAAGAACAGGGAAATGAGGTGGCTTGACATAAAAGCGACAACAAAGGGCTCTAACACATTGCAATAGGTTTTGTGTCAAATTGCCCGTACCAGGGTTCTCAGTGGTTTAGCAGTAATCCCTCATGGTGTGATCTAATGCAACATAATCAACTTCATGATGGGATAAAACAGCACCATCAACACTACAGTAAAAAACTGATGCCTCACAATTTATATTCCTTAGGTTCACAACAGGCTCTGTGGCTATCTTGTAAAAAAGATGGAAAGATCTATTTTGCTCCAGAGGGAAATAAAGAATGCATACCAACATTTGCCAGGATTGAAGAAATAATTAACCTTCTACTCACCAAATTATGAGTTTGGATAATGAATAATATATATAGATGTGTATATATATATATTGTTACATATCTATTGATATATCGGTATACAAGGGGGCACCCAAAGAAGCCCAGAATTTTTATGCAACCCTATCTATGTAACTTTTTTACAAAACAACCTTATCATTTTCAAAGAACTCTCCATTACACTTAATACATTTTTCAAGTTTGTGATTCCATTCTTGGACACATTTTTGAAACTCATCTGTTTGGATGGCTGGCAGCACCCCCCTCGTTTTTTTCTTCACCTCTTCTATGCCCTCAAATCGCCATCCTTTCGTGTACCTCTTCATTCACAGAAACAAAAAGAAATCACACGGGGCGAGGTCAGGTGGGTAAGATGCTTGGGGCAAGAGA